GTTTTATAAAAGATGAAACCATATGAACATCATATGTATTTCGGATCGGTTCGATTTCGGTTTGGCTCCGGTTTTATTAGGTTTCCCTTTTTACAAAAAATAAATATAAGTTTGGTGCACAAATAAAAGTAACCGTAGAATATAAATAATATATCAATCAATAAGTTAAACATAATTCAAATAATAGAATCCAAATCTAGTTTCATAGACCCAAATATTATAAATCCAAATAATTCAAAGAATAGAATAGAACTCAAATAAATATAAGCCTAATAACAAATTTTTTAACAACATTACTAATCACAATATAAACAGATAAAATATATAATTCTCCCAAATTTCCATCAAAAACAAAAAAAAAAAGCATTCGGTTTTACGGTATTTAACCAAACCAAACCAAACCAAACCTAAACTGAAAACTTAATAAAAATGGCAACCTAATGAGTTTTAGACAAAACCATAACAAAATCAAATCATTTATTTCGGGTTGGTTCGGTTTTTCAGGTTATATTCTATTTCCTCACCCCTAGAAGAAGGTTGCAAGGAAAATGAATGCCACAGATTTTTAGTTTTTTTTTAGTTTTTTTTAGTTTTTTTTTTTTGTTTTTTTTTTTTTTTTTTTTTTTTTTTAGTATTCTAGCGACTCAGACAAACAGAGGTAAACTATCTATCAAATGTGCTGTCCTCTTAGCAGTTTTGTCTCTCTTTTTTTTTCTAAAATAGAAAAGATTAGAAGCACGAGACGAAGATTAACCAAAGAAAAAAGGAAAGAGAAACGGTTGCTAATCATACTAAAGAGAGAGCAGAAGACAAGTGTAATTAGTAACCTGTCCTTTATTATGGAAAATCTACTATCAGTTCTTTAGATAATATGATGAATTAATCCAGTTTTCAAATGGACATCAAGTTTCTAAACAAATATGCATCTTGCAAATAGTAATCCATCTACTGTATTTTCATCGATCGCTTCGGGTTTTTATGTTGATGGAAGTTAAAGAAACAATTTGCTCAATTTCAGAGCATATGTCAAATTCTACATCCAAAAGAAATTGGTCATAGTTTACCAAAATTTCGAAAAACAAGATTTCTCTTAACTGTTCTTACTAGTCAAGAGCGACCGGATAATGAATCGCTAGAACAATCCGAAAACCAAATAAAAAAACAAACTGAAACTTTAACGGCAAGTAAAGCTCGTTACAGCGATATTATATCATCATCATTGTTGTAATTAGTATTAGTATATCAATTTGGTCAATTGCTTGTGCTGATTTTTTCGTCGACGGATGACTTTATTCCATGTTATTGTCAAGAAACCATATCACAACAAAGTCGATGACCATTACGCTACTCCACAAACCACAAGTATCTCTCATTTTATGAGATTGAACGTTTTGGGCAAACAAATCATATCTTATGTTTTTAGTATAGAGATATTATTGTAAATTCTTATTAGGTATTGATGTATATGTCCTGTATAGTGTCTACGTTCATTTGGTTATTGTACACTGGTATAAGTATAAACCAAGTCAGTAAATTTCATTTCTATTTCCGCTAAAGAGTTTCGGTTTAGCCCAGTTCTGAGTCTGTATATAAACCGCTCCACATATAATTTTCTCTAATTAATGAGAATGAGATTTATTTTGTTGGTTTGGTGAAATGGTATCAGAGCTAAAACGATTCTAACAAACTTTTCCCATTACTTCGCTTTCTCCAAAATCACTCAATTTTCTGGGGAAAAATTCTATAATTCTCATTCATTTTCTTCATCACGCATCAACTTATGTGTCTTCTCGAAGCTTAGTTGATCTTCGTCCTATGTGATTCACTCTTCTACCTTAATTAATGGCCACATTTTTTTTTATAAAAGGCAAATATTGCAACAGTTCATCAAATATATCAAAAGTTGTAATAGCTCATCAAATAAACGAAAGGTTAATTGCCACCGTTCATCAAATATACCAAATATCGAAACGGTTCATCAAATAAACCAAAAGTATAAGGT